CTCCGTCGACAAACTTCTTCAATCCAACGATCTCCAGCTGCGGTTCGATGGACTCCGTCCACGTGATCAAGTCATGTCGTCCTTCGAGCGGCTTCGGCACAACGATTTTGTCCGACAAATTTTTAAAATAGCCATACCCCCGCGCGATGCCTCCGTCTCGACCAGCCGACACGTGAGTCTCGAAGTCAGCCTGACTCCACTCCGCTGAGGAGATTGACGTCGACCATCAACGTTGCCGTTCGAGCTGCCTCCAGTCGCTGACGATCACAACACTTGCGCTTGCACTCCGCCGAGGCCGACGTTGGCGGCCCGAATCACTCCACGGGGCATCCTCATGCCTCCTTCGCTGACAGCGTTGCGGCCATTGCCTTCGTTGTGCACGGGTCGGGGAGAGGCGGACGCACCGTTCGCTTCTGCTCGGGGAGGGGGATGCTCGCAAGCCCGCCGCGCGCGAGTTCCTAGGAGCATCGTCTCCAGGTCCGCACCACCATACTCGCCAACTTCGTGGCACCGCCGAACATCAGCCTCTCTTGCCTACAAGGTATCTTCTACGCATGCTTCGACCACGGGGCCTACCGTGACGACTAAGACGGCTGCCGGCCTAACAACAACTTAGGTAAGGCGCAAAGTTGTCTAATCCGAAGGTTCTAACGCGGGGCCGTCCACGCTCACCGCACCATGCAGAGAGTCACTACACAACGGGAGTGGACTACGGAGGAGGGCACGGGGTTGTGCGAGTGATCGTAGCGTTCTAGTAATGTTCTTACTGCTTGTTGTGTTCACAAAGAAGTTTAGCAACAGTTTCACTAAGAAAGTTGAAAGGAACGTTGAACGTTAGATTACAATTGAGGCATGCAAACAATATAGTTAGAATGGCAAGCAACACCTAGCAAGCACTCTGCAAAGCGAACTCTGCCAGAGCAGCAGAAGAGCGGATTGCCAACGCTGCAACAGAGCGGTCTGCCAGCGTTGCACTGCGTGCGGTATGCCAGCACTGCAGTTGCAGGTGACAATTTGCTGTCGCATGTGACTATCTACAGTCACAGGTTGCTATCTGCGCACATGTACGCACCTACCAAGTAGGTGTAGGTCGACGGTTTCACTGTCAGGCACATTGCACAGGTGCTAGATAGAAAACGTGTCGTCTGTTTTGCCAGGTGCCAACCGTCGAGCACGTGCTGCTGTTCCGCAGGTAGAACTTCGCCAAAACCTCCTGGGCAAATCCGCACGCCTCCGCAGAGTTCCGCACACCTCTCGGCCGCTCGGTCGAACAGAGTTCGCCAAGCAGAGCTCGTCGACCGGAGCTCTTCGACCAGAATCGTCGACCGGCGCTCTTCGACGGGCCTCATTGACCAACACCTCTCGACGTGCTTCGTCGACCGCTGCCTTCGACCAGCACTGCCCGTCGACGATGTTGACCAGATTCCGTCGAGCAGAGCCTTCTCGACCGCTAACTCCGTCGAACTGCAAAAGCCCATTTCGACGACCAATTCGTCGATATCTTCTCGTCGATGGCGAGATCGGCTGCGCCCAAGCGAGGGCGGGGCCTATCTCTTCGACAGTCCGCACCTCCAATATCACCACCTCCAGCAGCACCGGATTCCATAGGAGCAGGCTGCAGAGGCGGCGAAGACGGCCAAGGCGGAAAACCAGGAGGGGTCTCCAAGCATGGTGAGCGGCGAGTGGCCGCAGTATCGTCAGAAGTAGGGTCACCCCCCTAAACTGGGTCAGATGTGTCAGAGGAGACCTCCAAAGGCTCGTTCAAGGGGGGCGGGTCTACCTGAGACACACCTGAGGGAGCAGGACCCTGTCGGGGGAGGGGGTCTACTGGGGGAGGACCCGGAACTAGGAAGAGAGGCGGGGGGAGAAGTGCTGTGGGGGAAGAGAGGGTAGTAGCAAACCGATTCGTCAAAGGTGACGTCCTGCGAGGACAGGACGCGACACGTGGTTGGGTGGTAATTCTGCCAGCCAGGCGCGTGAATCGAAAAGCAAAGGAAGATGCAGCGAACGGTGTGAGTAGAGAGCTTATCCGCGGTGGATATCGCGGACAAGGGCAACCGAACCCCAGGCTTGAAACGCCGACGCATCGCCAACCTCCCCCGTCCAACGCAGTGTAGGCGAGGTCTCTGACACGGAGACACGGGGCCAGACATTGAGCTGATGCGCGACGAATTGGACCGCAAACGGCCACAGAAAATGGGGAGCAACCGCATGGATCCTGGAGATGCGAGCAACCTCCATGATCAAGCCAATGCGGCGCTCAGCAATCCCATTCTGCTGTGGAGAGGCCGGAAGCGTGAACGACTGGGTGATGCCCTCCGCACGACAAAATTCCTCAAAGGGGCGGGAGGGAAACTCACTACCTCTGTCAGAGTGCCGACGCAAGATGTGAGGATCGATAGGATCGAGTTCAGAGAAAAGGAAACGTATTGAATGATCACTTGGGTACAACACGAGGCTATATATAGTCTCGACACAAGGCCAGTAACCCAGGTGTTACGGGAAGGTTTCAAGGGTCGCGAAGCGTCCTGAATGGAGCCTTCCCAAATTCGGTATAAGGCAGTTTGATGGCAACCGAATAGTCTGGAATTCGGTGCACTCAACCTGGTTCGGTGCTATAATTATAATAAACAATGGGCAAGCACCTTATATAGGAAATCAAGCATAAGCATGCATGATAAATAAACCTAAGCGAGAAATAGCATAATAAAGTCAATGCAAGCAAGCAAAGCTAGCATAAGCCGTCGTACTCTCACACGTCCCCCCCTCAAAGTTGGGTGGCGTGAAACCCTGCTTGACAAGATAATCCTTGAGAGCATGACGTGCATTGCCCATATCAGCTTTGCTACCCAGCTGTCCTCCGATGGGTCATATCCCTTCCAGCGTATCAGGAACTCGAGGGTCTTGCTGCCGCGGCGCCGATGAGTGAGAACGCGTTCCACCTCGTACTCTGGTTCATCCTGTACGAGAACAGGTGGTGGTGGCGGCCTTGCCATCCCTGGAACTGTTGGTTGGGGTCCTTTTAAGGCTTCAGCAGCTGAACATGGAAAGCATTGTGAAGCTTCCACGTAGTAGGTAAGCGCAAGCGGAATGTTACTGGTGTCACCTGTGCCTCAATGCGAAAAGGACCACAGAAGCGAGGCCGGAGCTTGGACGGAAGATGGGACAAGTCCAAGTTGCGTGTGTCTAGAAGAAAAGCCTAGCCAGTTATGGATCTCAGTCTCGTCACCGAACTCGGCACAAAAGGCATCCTCAAGACGGAAGAAGCAGCGAGCCTCAGTGTGCCCCACCTTGCCGCAGGGGTCTCCAGCCCGCGGACCTGTGCGCCGGACGTACGAGCAGCGACCACTACTCCTAGAGGAGCCACGCTGGACAAGCCACTCACGAAGCTGCTGGGGCGAGAGAGACTCCTGTTGGCGTGGCTACCGCTGCTGTCCACCCCCTGAGCCTCCGCCGCCACGAGCTGCACCCCCAGACGCCGCCCAAGAGCCTTTACCCCTACCAGCCCGACGTTGACCACCACCCAAGCCCCCTCCACTCCCTCCGACTGCCTCCACCACCCCCGCCACCTCCACCGACACCACCACCTCCTCCACCCCCTCCACCGCCACCGCCACCACCCCACCAGCGCCACCACCACCACCCTTGCCCCCCTTGCCCTTGCCGCTGCGGCGCCTCCCACTAAGAGCAGACGCAGGACCGACCTCCTCTGCACAGAGGAAGTCAATAGTAGCAGCAGTGGCAACAGAGGGCGCGAGAAGGGAGGGGGAACACCCCTCGAAAAAGGAGGGGAGGGGGGTGCCACAGGAGGTGGCAACGGCGCGGGCACCTGTCTCAGCCTCGAGGAGACGAGTCTCAAGCGAGTCAAGCGTGAGCTCAGTGGGGTCGAGGGCGGGGAAGTGGTCCCTAACGGTGCGGAGAGAGTTAGGGGGGCGAGTGACGAGCAAGTAAAGAGGGAAGTACATCGGGGGCGAGTTCACAGTCCGAAAGGTCGGCTTGAGAGCAGCATGGTAGCGAGTGTCACTAGAGCGGAGGTGGGTCATAAGGTCAGCGACGTTGGGGAAGTCTGACAGCTCAGGAAAGAGATACGGCAGTATGAGACGGCCTAGGGCAGCAGTAGAGGGGCAAGAGTTGCACTTGACTACAACCTCATAGAGCCCTTTAGCCATCTTCAGCTGGCCAAAATGGGGCCTCTCATCTAGCGGGAAGTGGTTGCGGACAGCAAGGCGGGCGGTAGCATCACGCAAAAGCCACTGGGAACGTGCTACACGGTCAGCCGTCTCGTCTGGGGCAAGAAGGGACCCCGACGTATGCTCATACAATGAGACATCGTCCCTAGCTACGCTCTACAGGTACAGCTGGAGATCCTCTAGCCAGGAGCCAAACTGGACCAGGTGACCCCCCGCGTCAAAGGTAAGCACAGTAATGGTAGCCACAACAGGCAGTCGCAGCAGCAGTAGCAGCATGGCGCAAGGGCGTGAGGCAAGGTAGTGCGTGTTGGAAACAAATGATTTAACGCTTCTTGTGTGTCGCAACATCGAACTGTAAACGAGGCGAACTACAGCGCAGCAACAGCGAGTCAACCGAGGAGGTTGACAGAAAAGTAACAGCCGGAGGTTACGCGAAGGTCAAAGGTCAGCGACCTTTGACTCGACAAATGCAACTCGACAGCAAGGACAAACAACTGACTCGATATTGAGCAGTTGCCCGAGTCGTCACTGTATCGAACCGCAAAAGCAACAGTAAAAACAGTTAATGCATCTTTTCATATTCCTTGTAATCTTATAAAAGCTTGTACTTCCTTTCTATAATCAATCTATCTTGCCCTCACATACTAGCGCAATGTGGTTCAACACTTTTTCATTAAACGCTTGCGCAATTACAACTTTCACTAGAAGCTTTAGCCTTGAAAGATCCTAAGGGCTTTTCTCAGCCCAACATGGTATGAGAGCAAGACAAGGCAAACTCCACTTCGTTTAACTCTTACAACACCAGAAAACATGGCTACACAGAAGGAGAGAAACCCCTCTAACGGCACTCCCGGCACCACTCCTACCCCACCTCCAGCCTCTGGCCTACAGACAGAGGGAGGCATGGCAACAAGACCAGCTGCTGAGTCTCCTGAAACCACTACGAACCAGACTTCAGGCTTCGACCCAAACATGATGGAGAATTTTTTCTCCTTCATGGCCTTTTACGAGCAACATCAGCAAGAAGCACCTGCGCAGTCAAGCAACAACAACAACAACAACAACAACAACAACAACAACAACAACAACAACAACAACAACAACAACAACAACAACAACAACAACAACAACAACAACAACAACAACAACAACAACAACAACAACAACAACAACAACAACAACGATGTCACACCCATGAGTGTCGACGGCTCATCATATGCGCGCGGAAACCAGCAACAACCTACCTTCGCCCCATACGAGCCTCAACGTGGCTCCACCAGCTTCATGCCGAATCAACCTGCACCTGGACAAGAGAAGACACTAGACACAATCGCAATTCGCGCACGTCTTGAAACTACAGATATCGACACCCTTCGACGGAAAGGATTTCTATATCTGGTCTTTCGAATTCGAGCTGATGATGGAAGGCGCACAAATCCTTGGTTACTTCGACGATTCCCTACCATATCCAACACACGGAACACAATACGACAAGCAGCAGTATACATATCAGTCGCTGATGGCATACACGATTCTGCTATGAAATATATTGCCGAACGAGCAGCAGAACATCCGGTCTTATCGAGGATACGGCAACTCCGCCGAGCTCGCGTACAGCCACCTGAAGAACGTGTATCAAGCAACAGACAGCATCAATCAGAGTCGACTAATGGCACAGCTGACAACAGTGGAAATGAAACCCGGCGAAAAGGGAATGGCGCATGTCAGCCGTTGTCGCGGACTGCACGACAGACTCCACCGATGCGGAGGATCGATATCCGAAGAAGCCTTCGTCACAGTCATCATCACTAGCCTCGGCTCCCATTGGCGTTCCACTCGAGCCGTTCTTCGAGCTCACGGGAAGATCTCCGAAGCAGCACTCTGCGCCAAAATCCACGCTAAACAGCAGGACATGGACCTGCACGAAGAACGTCACAAGAGAAAACGTCAGTACCTGAGTTTGCGTTTCACACTCAACAACACTACAGCAACAACAACAACCGGCAGAATAGACATCAACAACAACGACATGTACCGCCGTTCTGCCACCTCTGCAAGACGTCTGGGCATCCTCGTACACACTGCCCGAATCAGCAGCAGTCAACGCCGCCGCAACGTCAACTTCGGCCTTCAAGTATTCAAGTTGCCTCCACACAAGCACACCCCACCGGTCAAACACAGTCTTTGGCGACAGCGACGACGGGACAACCTGCACAAGGCGCAAGAAACATCGTAAGCTGCATGGCGAGATTGACAGACTCCTGCATCACCGAGTCACCGCCACACTACTCACCGGAAGAACAACTCGACGAAAGCACCCCTCGTCGCGATTCACTGGAGCCGAACCCGACGTACGCAGCCATCGCCCAGAGCGAGCCATTCGGAAAAGACACCTGGTTCTTGGACAGCTGCTGTGAACAGCACATGTGCTCCTCGGGTCGCTTCGTCCAACGAGAACATCAACTGCAGCGCGAAGTCGTCATCACCGTCGCCAACAACCAGAACCTGCGCATAAGATGACAAGGCATAGTACAACTTCAATCACGAGAAAACAATGTCATACTGCAAATATCGAAGGTTTTAATCGTGGAGGGACTCGGCTATAACTTACTCAGCGTCAGCCAATTGATGGCAAAGGGTATTCACCTCGAAGCAGACAGCACCACCCAGGAGTTCAAGTTGTATCACGGGAGAGGAGGACTCTACATCGGCAAGGCGGTCTTGAAGAACAACGTCTTCGTTCTTGATTTCGTTCCAGACCAAGGCACCGCCGACAGCGACGCCATCGTCAACTTCACCTCTTGGACACACCCGCCAGACCTCGACCTCGACTTCAGTCCCGGAGGCTTCTGGTACTCGCACACCATACCTGAAGCAGAACGAACAAGAGCGTTAGCAACAATTCAACAACCAGAGACAACATCGGCAGCAGCAGAGACAACATCGGCAGCAGCAGAAACAACATCGGCAGCAGCAGAAACAACATCGGCAGCAGCAGAGACAACATCGGCAGCAGCAGAAACAACATCGGCAGCAGCAGAAACAACATCGGCAGTAGCAGAGACAACATCGGCAGCAGCAGAGGCAACACCCGCAGCAGCATAAGCACCACCGGTTCGCACCAATCGCTGGTCCTTCAACAGCACCGACCGTCATCAACGACACACCACTAACTCCCGCGCAACAACTGACTCCCACTCTACGGGAAGTTCACAGAAGCGCCAACTTCACCGCCAGCTTCTATTCCAACTCCGACTTATATAGGCGCTCACCCGGACATCGCGCTAGTGAAGACATCTGGCATGCAAGGTTGGGACATCCGAGCAACACCACGTTAAAAAACACAATAAGAGCTGGAGTTCTTGACAAAGACTCGTTACTCCTACATGACGGCAGAGAGCTTCAACGAGTCCGCGGAACATGTTTTACCTGCCCTGAAGCTGACTTACTGCATCAGCCGTTTGTCTCTCACCACAATCCGAGTGCCCCAGCATACGCATCACTGGAGAAAATGTACAGTGACATACTGTACAACCGTGAACCGGGACAAGGAGCGTACAACTACACCATCACATTCATCGACGCCGCCACGCGATACGTCTGGCACCTCAATCTCCCGAGCCGGGACATGGCCTTTGAAGCCTTCGTCGCCTGGCTTCCAGTAGCAGAACGGGAATCCCGAGTGAAGCTGAAAAGCTTCCAGTCAGATGGGAGAGGAGAATACGAGTCACAACGCTTCAAGCAGCATCTAGCAAAAAGAAGAATCAAGAGATTCATCTCTCTCCCTTCCCTACGCCCACCAACAGCAAGGCGTAGCAGAAAGGATGAACAGGACACTCCAGACCACCAAGCTCAAGCTGCTACGTGGCATGCTGCTACCCAACCACCAGTGGCCCGAAGCAATGGACCATGCTGTGATGCTGCACAACTTGCTTTCGTCGTCATCACTCCCGAACAACGCCTCACCGCATCTGCTGTGGACAGGGAAATTGGGCAACACAAAAATGTTACGAGTTTTTGGCTGCATGGTACAGTACCGACCACACACTGCACGAGCCGGAAGATTTCCGCAACGTATACAGCAGGGACTACACCTGGGCATCGAAAAACATTACAACGCGTGGAAGATATTTGATGTCCACTCGAAAGAAACAGTGGCAGCACGTGACGTTATCTTCTACGAGCGACTCACCCTCCACACGTACCTGGCAAACCTGTGGGTGAACCAAGACCCCACAGACGAACTTCGTGGCAATCGAGCATTCGCCTCGGCAGCAGACGATGCTGACTGGGATGAGCAAAACGTGGACGGAGCATCAGAGGAAGCCAGACCTCTTCCCTACTGCTCAGTGGACACTCCAATGGACGACGACAACCCTCGCGAAAGCATCAACGCCGAAGTCTACTACCACTTCGCTGACAACGGTTACGTTACACCCACACGAGTCAACACCAACGAAGAAGATTGCGTAGGACACAATTTCGTACCTGATCCAGATTGGGAGACAAAGCCGTCTATCCCGAGGACGCAAATCTCCCCCGCTACACACAGAGCGGGCTGCAGATACTCGGACTTCGCGGTCCACGGAGCAGCGCCACCTAAGGAGCCTGCCACAGTTCAGCAGGCTCTGGGGGGGGAGCACAGGGAAAAACGGGGCGAAGCTATGGACAGAGAATTAAAAGAACGCAACACCTGGAAAGTCGTACCCATCGGAGTGGCACGCAACAAGACAGTTCTCACCGGAAACTGGGTTGTCCGTGTGAAAACCAAAGCAGACGGAACCATCGATCAGTTTAAAGCACGCTGGGTCGTACGCGGCTTCGACCAAGAGCACGGACGAGACTTCACCGAGACCTTCGCACCGGTCAGCCGACACACCTTATTGCGGATTCTCCTCACGATAGCCGCCATGAAGAAGAAAATGCTTCGCCAAATCGACGTCGCCAACGCCTTTCTCTACGTGCCTGACGATGCTGAGATCTTCGTCAAACAGCCACACGGTTTCTACGCAGACCCCAACCAAGTCTGTCAGCTGCTGAAATCCCTGTACGGCATTAAACATGCCCCAAGACTGTGGCAGCAGTACCTGCACGCCCGGCTAATCCACATCAGATTCTGGCAACTGCCGCATGATCAAGGCATGTACCGGCTCACGAAAGGCACCGACTACATCCTGCTCATCGTCTACGTGGACGATCTGCTCTACATCGGCTCGACCGACGGCATCACGACCTGGTTCGAAGGGGAGCTGCAGCGGGACCTCACGCTCACCGTTTCGTCTACCGTCACACAGTACCTGGGACTCAACATACAGGAAGAAGAAAACGCGATCCATCTCAGCACCGCGAAATACGCCGACACTATCGCCAAGCGCTTCGGATTGACTCCGACCACCATCACTACGCCGTATCGCTACACCGACGGAAAACGCAAGGAAAACTCCGCGCCACTTAAGCCCGCCGGCATACGTGACTACCAGCGAAAGCTAGGATGCTTGCTCTTCGCAGCCGTCACCTGCCGACCGGACCTGTCGTACTCAGCAAGCCAACTCGCCACCTACCTCAAGAAACCTGAAGCAGAGCACATGGCGGAGCTCGACCGCGCACTCCACTACCTCGTCAGCACCCCGACAATCGCCCTGACCTAGCACAAAACGGGAACTACGGCACCTAAGCTAATCGGCTACGTGGATGCTGACCACGTCGGCGATTCCGATAACAGGCGCTCACGCACTGGCTACATCTATCGACTCGAGCCTATCGGGCCTATCTCGTGGCAGTCGAGCAAACAGGAATTAATCGCTCTCTCTTCAGCTGAAGCAGAATACATTGCACTCTGCTCAGCCACCAAGGAAGGCCTGTACCTTCGCGAACTGCTGGAAGAAGCGAAGCTGGCTCAGTTATCCAGCTTCTCCTTATTCTGCGACAACCAGTCAGCAATTCGCATAGCGAACAAGAACGGGTTCGCGAACAGGACGAAGCATATCGCCCTGCGATATTTCTTCGTGAAGGACGAGATCGAGAAGGGGAGACTCGAGCTATCTTACTGCCCCACATCCGAGATGGCAGCCGACTATTTGACCAAGAAGCTTGGAAAGCAGAAGTTCGAGTACTGCATGCTGCTGACTGGACAAGGCCACGTCACCAGCAACGACACTCCAGAAGCGAAGGGGAGTGTTGGAAACAAGTGATTTAACGCTTCTTGTGTGTCGCAACATCGAACTGTAAACGAGGCGAACTACAGCGCAGCAACAGCGAGTCAACCGAGGAGGTTGACAGAAAAGTAACAGCCAGAGGTTACGCGAAGGTCAAAGGTCAGCAACCTTTGACTCGACAAATACAACACGACAGCAAGGACAAACAACTGACTCGATATTGAGCAGTTGCCCGAGTCGTCACTGTATCGAACCGCAACAGCAACAGTAAAAACAGTTAATGCATCTTTTTTTATTCCTTGTAATCTTATAAAAGCTTGTAATCTATCTTGCCCTCACATACTAGCGCAAGGTGGTTCAACACTTTTTCATTAAACGCTTCCGCAATTACAACATTTCACCAGGAGCTTTAGCCTTTGTTACGATACGAAGTTCAATGAGAAGGCATTCCTGTACGCTGCAGGAGCCGACTCTACCGAGTACGAAGACGAGGAGTCAGAAGAATCGAAGCGACACAGCAACCGCCTGATCGAGACCGATGCAGGCAGAGACATTTGAAATGAAAAGAGCGGGAACAGGTTTGAAACTGACTCCCGCGCCGCACGGTTTGAAATTCACTGCAATAAGGGAATGTACCCCTTAGAGTACATGGCTAGTCTAGGTCGTTTCGCATTCCTTTGTATTTCTATATAAACCCTATGTATGCATGCTATTATCATCTCAGTCATTTTACATTCACTCTGACCTGAGTTCACTACTTCCGCTGCAACACTACCTGCGATCAACCCTGAACGATCCTTTCGCTAAGTCCCACTTCAGATTGTAACATGGTATGAGAGCTACTCAGGGATTCTTCGCAACACCACTCCCGTAAAATTCGCCGAACCCAAATCTGGCGAGCGGCACACGCTCCAAGACCAAGATGGCCGGAGGATCCGGAGGTCAAACAAATCTAACGGCCGAAGGACAAACCAACCCGGCTGCGACAAATGAGGCGACAACTACGATCGGCACAGCCGCACTCGAGCAGTTATTCGCTCGACTGTCAACTATGGAGAAAGAACTCCAAGAACTGCGCAAAGGCGATGCGGGAACCACTTCCCAACCAGTGCAACCTGGACAACCGGCTGCAAAAAGCCGCGATACCGCCGCGCATGGCTTCTCCCTCGACTCAGGCAAATCTGCAACAACTTGCCCCCGTCCAAGCGACGAGACAATCAACTCTGCGCAAGCACGCTTCCTCAGTGTGTCAAAAATTAAGACTGCTACCGCATTTGACGGCAAGGATTTTTATACATGGAGTTTTGAGCTGGAGCTCCTCCTACAAACAGCGCAGATCTATCACTACTTCGACGGCTCCTATCCTAAACCGGTGGAAAACACCGAAGACGCCCGGGCTCAATACTACAGTGAGTCACTTATGGCGTATAGCGTCCTGCTGCGCAACATGTCGCCTGCAGAACAGCTCGGCATCCGCTCCTACAAAGAGAGCGCCGCTCCAGCCCTAGAAGCCTGGAAGCACCTCGTTGAGGTATATCAGCCGAAGGATTCCGTCACTGCAAGTCGTCTCCTGCAACAACTCATGGAGACCAAGATGGGGCACGGGGAGAAAGCAAACAGCTACATCAACCGTTGTCGGAACATTCGTGATCAAATTATCAAGAACGAAAGTTCTATCACGGAGGAGATATTCGTCAACATCGTCCTCCAGGGACTTGGGCCCGAGTGGAAGCCCTGCAAGGCGCTACTCCGACAACGAGGACAGCTCTCTGAAGCCGCGCTATGCGCCGCACTGCTGACTGAACAGCAGGACATGGACTCGAGCAGAACGAGTTCCGCGCCACGCCGAGAGCGACTCGCCTTCTACACAGACAACCGAGAAGAGCGACGACAACCAAGGCGCCATTATTGCAAAAACTGCAAAGTCTTCGGACACTCAACGGATCGATG